GTGGTGCTCACCATGAAGAATGCAGCACCTCCCCAGGGAGGTAAACCTGGGTCTTTGCCCATTACTTCATGTGGCTTGCCCTGGGCTGCTAGCCTGTGAGCCACATGCTGATGATGAAGTCTGCCGGGCCGGGATTATGCAGTCTGCCCCAGTGTGGGCATCTTATTTACACCCCACGTCTTCTTCTGGGGGGGGGTCATTGTTCTCCCATCCACTGGCTCCATCTGGGGGTTCTTGCTTGTCCTCTAGAGCCCGACCTGAGGTGGGCTAGGGCAATGTAGGAGAGAGCTGGCAACCATGTGAACGGTTTGCTGGGGGCCTCATAAACCACAGAATTTAATCTTGGGAAACTTGTTTCTATATATTTGCTAGGTAAAATAGACACGTTTAGAATAGTGTGCGTAATGGTGATAATTGAATGGAATGAGTGCCTTGGATGTATAATGTTCAGGGTTTAGAATCTTTGGTCCCTTGTACATGACATTGTTTTATGGAGGCTCCTGGTGAGCTGGGGGGCCTGCCCAAGGTCACTGTGCAGCCCTCCCCGACTATGCCCCCAGGTACCCAGAGTGGTCACTGCTTCCCCAGCGGTTCCACACCCCGTCGGCTTGTCCTCTGCCGAGCAGGTTTTAGTTCTGCCCATAGTTTGGCTAGTTGCACCGTCTCTGTGAGCTCTGACATTATGCTGAAGTCCGCAGGGTGTCTGGTATTTGCCATAACACCAGCAGGAAGGGTATGGTTCTGTCTCTGTCGACAGTGGATGGGGCTGCAGAGACAGAGCCCACTGGGTTCAGACGGGGGTCTGCTACTTCCCAGCCCAGTTTCAGGGCCTGTAGAGCAAGGGGTGTGTGTGTGTGTGTATAGGAGGGTGGCTTAGCATAAAAAATCCCGCTTTTCTCATTATGGAAGCAATGTTTATTGTAAGAATCAGGAAATACAGACACAAAATAAACCTTATAGAAAAGCCAAGGTGATAATTCTTGTAACTAAATCTTTGAATATAAGCAGTCTTAATAGTTTCATCCAGTTGTTAGAACTGGGCTCAGAGTCTGAAGGTTCATGGCAGCTCAGTCTTTGTGTTGTATTGTCATGATGGGAGCCCAGTGATGCCTACTTGTGCCTTGGGCCCTCCCAGCATCCCCTGGGGAGGTGAGCACACTCTCGGAGCCCCCCTCCCCACTCCAGTGCTCATTGTTCAGAACCCTTTGCCTGAGCACTTTTTACAGCCCCTAGCTCCCTCCTGCCTAGTCCCTGATGAATCCTGGGATCGTTCTGCTCTCTGGACACCGACATGGAGAAGGCCAGTCAGGGCAGGTGCTCCTGCAGGAGGCTTGGCCTTGGCCTTCATGGGGGCCACCGGTTTCTGTTCACTGTACGGGGACCCCTTCCCTGTACCTCAGCCAACCTTTGACTTTCATGCTCCCTGACAGTTTGACGGCTGACATCTTTCTGTACTTAAAACAAACGAGGTGAAACTAAAAAGCTTATCAAAGCCCATCTACATTTATTCTAAGTTTTGTTCCTGTTTGTGTACCTATTTTTAAATTAGGTATTTGCCCTTATATTATTGACATAGTAGGCTATTGAAAGATTGCCGGGGCGCCTGGGTGGCTCAGTCGGTTGAGCGTTTGGCTTCGGCTCAGGGCATGATCTCAGGGTCCTGGGATCGAGTCCCGCATCAGGCTCCCTGCTTGTGGGGAGCCTGCTTCTCCCTCTCCTCCCCGCTCAGTTCTCTCTCTCGTCATCCCTCTCTCTCAAATAAATAAATAAAATTAAAAAAAAAAAAAAGAATGATTGCCTGAGGAGACACGGTTCTTATTTTCAGGTAGATTGGCACAGGGAGTTCACTGGGTCCTCAGGTCACGGTCATCTGGAAGGTGCTGCCTTCTGACACAGGGGACTCCGAGTCCCTGGATGTGCAGGGAGGTGCACAGCCGTGTATCCAGGAGACTTGGTAAGAGCCGATGGAAGAAGTCAGCTTTTCCTGGAGACACTCCCCCACTGGAGCCGGCCGTCACATCCACCGCCTGTGGGGAGTGTTGCAGCGGCTGGGGGAGGACCGGGGCTCAGGCTGTTTGAGCCCCAAAGCAAGTTGCCTTGGTGTTTTGTGTTTGCGGGCACAAGAGTCTACCCACTCGCTTCCTCCGACGTGGCGCTGGGCCTTTTGCCTTCATGGTTGCCCCCAGGCGGTGCGGGCTTGCTGACTGCGAGCTGTAGACAGTCCCGGCCGCTCTGCTCTGTGCGGCCAGCCCAGTGCTCAGCCTAGTGAATTGGTTACCTGGAAGCGGAGAGTCTAGAGTTCATCTCTCTAGAACTCTGGTGTACTGGAAATCTTTCTGAATAGGACTTTAACTCACAATGTTATGGGCTTTTATCATATGTAAGATCGGGTTTTGTTGGCTGCCTGATTGCTTGGTTGGGGTCGATGTTCGCCTGACGGGTCTCCTCCCCCTGGTGTTGTAGTCATCATGGCGTCAGGCTCAGAGTTCAGAGATTGCTCCTGGAAGCTTAAGTTGAGGTTAAGGAGGTTAGGTTGAGGCATGACTTGGAAAATATATTTCTTGATGGATCACTTTAATTCCCCAGACAGTATCGATAACCGAGGTTTCTCTTATCTGCCGTGGGACTTGTAGCGGGGACAGAATTAACCCCCTGCATTTGTCTGCTCTTGTCACAAGATGTAGTGTTTCAGTGTCTGCCTCATGTTGTGTGGAGTGAGCCTGGGGATCTGAGTCACCAAAAGCAGCCTCAGGTGATGGCACGTGGAGAAGCGTGAGTGTGAGGCCCTCGCTGTGCTGGCCCGGCTGGGCGCCGCCGCCATCCGGATAACAGTAGCACCCACAGGGCTCCCTGCACACAGGCCCCAGGCTGGGTGCCCCCTCCCCGGCCACAGGCTGTGAGAGCTACTGACCAGACAGTACCTTGCCTGAGGCCACATAGCTGAACTTGAAACAGGCTCACTGGGATCGTCGCCCCGCTTGGTAGACATCCTGCAGGCCACGAGCAAGTGGATTCTGGTGGAGTGTGGCCTCCCGCAAGGCATTTATAGCCCATCTGAGAGCCATGTAATGGCTGCTGGGAAGACATTTCTTCATCATGAATTGTATTCAGAAGATAACCTCTCACATCCGTAGTAACGAAATTACAGCTGCTTTGCTTATAGCTGTCTCTGATTTAAGGACTCAAGGGGTAAGTGAGTACATTTTTAAGTTCAGACATGTTTCCGAGAAAGCTGCTAATAGAGATACAGAAGTAGTCAAGATGTGATCAGCTAGCTGGGGACGCTCCGGGTGGGGACTCCTGTCCTCCACAGCAAGCACGGACGATTTGCTGAGCGCTGCCCGACTGAGTGTTGCAAGCACAGACGATTAGCTCTGAGGCCTGGTGGGAAAGGCAGGGTGCTCTGGCCAGAGAGGAGTGCTCAGGGGGCTGGGAGGCTGGGCCTCACTCTGTGGGAGGTGCCAGCCTCATTGTGGGGGTGGGCAGCCACAGCATGGGCCAGGGCCTCCCAGGACCGTGGCACCCCAGCTCCAGCTGTCATGAGCCTGGGAGCATGCCACCATGGGGATCACGTGCCACCGTGGAGGGAAAGAGCTCTATCTGGGAGGAGAAGTCACACATGCGGGGGCACTCTCTGGGCCATGTCAGGAAAGCCTGAGATAGTGGGTATTTTTTGGTGAGTGGAAGTGAATAAATAGAAGCATGTTGGAAGTTTGGGACTCTGATCTTGGCCATGGCTGTGCCCGCGCTCTGGTTTGGGCCTGCTGGCCTGGTTTCTGCACAGGGCACCCGGGTGTGGGAACTCCTCGGGCAGCCGTCTCCTGATGCTGCTGTGCTGAATTGGGCCCGGCTCAGCGGCTCGGGGCTTTGTGTCCTCTAATAAGGTCTGGTTGTTAACAGTAGCTCGTCTGTTTTTGCACAAGTTGACATCTAGTTGGCACATTTCAGTAAAAATCATAAATTGGGAAAAATTGATAAAATCCTGTCTTTCCTTCTGGCAAAGACCGACACATGCCCTAATTAGAGCAGCAAACACTGAAGGGAAAGGAACCCGAAATCAGCCAGCACATCGTGCTCCCATCTCGTAGGCGGGTGGGGGTCTTGGGTGTGCGTGGTTCTCAGAGCCAGTACAACTTGTTTTGGGAAAACAGCTGTGGCAGCAGGTAAAGACTCTGGGATGGGGCAGGAGCTGAGGCGGGGCACCTCCTGAGCAGCTGGGGGCTTGTCCAGGTTGTCTGAGCGGAGGCGAGCCCTGTGTCTAGCACAGGTGCAGAGCTTTGGAGAAGGAGCTGGAGCTGGAAGAGTTTAGGCTCACCTGTCGGGCCCGTCCTTGCAGGCATGGGCAGGTGCTGGGCGACCAGAGGCAAGGAGGTCCGTATGCCCGGTGGCGGGGGGAGACCCGTGATAAGCAGGGGGCAGGCTGCAGATCATAGGCTTCGGTGAGTGGAGGGAGGCGGAGGGTGACACCCTGCGTAGGACAGTGGCAGGACCTCTCCCAGGAGGTGGGCTGTGAGGACGGGCAGGCTGCAGTGACCTGGGGGGAGAGCACAGCACAGCAGGCCCGGTGACCCGTGTGGAAAAGCAGTTGGCAGGGCGCCGAGGAAGCCCCTGGGTCGGGCATAGTGAAGGAGGGGCTAGGGAGGTCCCCTGTGTGGGGAGAGGTGGCCTCCGGGCAGCTGGGGGCTGTGGGGAGGCCTGTGGGTGTGGTTCCAAGTGCAGAGCTTGCGCGCTGGAGGACTTCCTGGTCACCTGGATAAGATACCGGCTCCTGTGTGGGGGCGACATCGGATGGCCACGTCACGGCAGGATGCGCAGAGGCGCCGGCCCCAGGTGCCTGGTGTGCATGGCAGCACAGAGGCGGGGAGGCTGGTGGGTTTGAGCTCCTCCTGCATGCATGCGGGGCAGGTAGGACTGGCGAGGTGACAAATCCACACACACTTACGTTGGTACGATCACTACCAGACCTGCAGCCCATCTGGAAAGATGCCAGGGGCCCCAAGCAGGTCCCCTGTGAGCCAGGCCTCGTGGGACCACCCCTGCCCTGCCTCCTCCCCAGCGCTGTCCCTGCTGGGGTGCCCTCTGCAAGCTGAGCTTCCAGGTACCCCTGCCTTCAGCCTGCGGCTCCATCATGAGGGGGGACCCAGACCCACAACTCGACAATGTGGCCAGTTCCCTTCACTTGTCTGATGGCAGAGGATAAATTGTCTGTGGTGTTTGCTCCTCCTGGTTTGTCCACCAGGTGTTGGTGACCCGTACACGTACACTAAACCCTCTAACTCTGTGTGTCTGCTTGCTGCCAACATTTTCCTCTTCTGATCCTGTAGATTCCCCTTCTCATCAGTATTTCCCAGTTAACATAATGAATGTCACTGTGCATTGCTCTGCTTTTTTAAAAAATGAGGACTTCATGTTTTAGAGCAGTGTTAGGTTCACAGCAGAGCTGAGGGGAAGTACAGAGGTTCCCTCCCCCCCAACCTCCCCTGGGTCCCTCTGCCCCAGAGTGGTGTGTGTGTTACATTGGGTAAGGCTGCACTCACACGTCATTACCACCCAGATGGCGATGCCGTATGTTCGTGGCTTTGCATAAACGTATGATAGCATGGATCCACCATTCCAGGGTCATACGGCTTGTTTTCACAGCCCTAAAACCGTGGTCTACTCATTCATCCCCCCGCCCCTGCAACCACGGACCCGTCACCGCCACCATGGTTGTGCCTTCGCCAGAGAGCCCTGTCGCTGGAATCGCGCAGGACGCAGCCTTCTCAGACTGGCTTCTGTCACTCAGTGATCCGCGCTCACGGTCCCTCCGTGTCTTCTCATGGCATGATGGCTCGTTTCCTCTTAGCGCTGAATACTCCCCCGTTGACTGGATGGACGGTTCCCGTATCCATCCACCCGCTGAAGAGCAGCTATGCATGAAGGGTCCCGAGGGCTGGCAGTTACGCATAAAGCTGTCTCGAACATCGTGTGCAGGGTTTTGTGTGGATGTGTGTTCTCATCTCCTCTGGGGAAACATCAGGGAGTGTGGTTGCTGGGTCGTATGGGAAGAGCACATTTCGTTTTGTGAGAGACCACCAAACTGCCTTCCAGGGTGGCTGCCCCATCTGCTTCCCCAGCAGCCGTGAACGAGCGCTCCGGTCGCTCCACGTCCTCCCCAGCGCTTGCCGGTGTCCGTGTTCCGGATGCTGGCCATTCTCGTAGGTGCGCAGCCGAGTTCATCTCCCCGAGGACCTGGGACGTGGAGCAGCTTTACTTATTGGCCGTCTGCATGTCTCTCTGTTCAGGTCTTTTGTCCATTTTTAAAAGATTGTTTGTGTTTTAGTGTTGAGTTTTAAGAGTTCTTTATATATCATAGATAACTGTCCTTTATCAGATGTGTGTTTTGCAAATGTTTCCTCCCAGTCTGTGGCTTGTCTTCTCACTCTGCAGACATGGTCTTTCACAGAACAGAAGTTTTACATTTTAACAAAGTCCAGCTTATCAGTTCTTTTTTCTTGGATTGTACCTTTGGTGCTGTATCTAAAAAGTCATCCTCCTATCCAGAGTCCCCTAGGATTTCTCCTGTGGTGTCTTCTAGAAGTTTTGTAGTTTTGCATTCAACGTTTAGTCTGTGATCCATTGTGAGTTAATTGTGAAGAGTGTAAGGTCTGCGCTAGATTCACTTTTTGTGTGTGGACGTTCCGTTGTTCCAGCCCTACTTGTTGAAGAGACGATCTTTGCTCCGTGGATCACCTTGCTCCTTTGACAAGGATCTGTTAACGGTGTTTGTGTGGCTCTGTTTCTCTTCCATTGATCTGTTCGTTTCTTCTCCAAGGATATTTTGTTTATATAATAATGAAAGTAAAATACAAATCATGAGGTTTATTCCCTAAAGGTGCTGGATTAAGTTGTTGAATTTCAGATTATTTTCCTTCAAATGATATAAGAATTTTATATTTCAGTTATTTTTGTTAAATAATCAAATCATCATTTGGTATTTTTTCTATGGCTATAAAATTAATCTGGACTTCAACAAGTTGCTTGATTTATAGTAAAGTATCAACACAAATAATCTCCATCTTAACACTTCTCTTTTTAAAAATTTGCAGTGTATGGCTGTTAAAAATAAAACCCGTAGCAGCCACAAATAATATGTGAAACTTCTCTTAAAACCATTCTGTTTTGAGAATAAAACGGATAAAATCCAGTAATAATTGCTAGTAATTTTAATCAAGTTTACTGCTTGTCTTAAGCACTTTTTAATCTATACCTTTTTAGTGACTTCCTAATGATAGAATTTTCAGCAGCACAATAGAAAATATTCAAGTTCTGACACATCTTTAATGTAAGTAAGTCATATTCTTTACATTTCATTCCAGAGTATCTTTTTTCACTGAGGGAGGGGAGGGCGTGAAGGGTAGGCAGGTGTGCAGCCTCTCCATGATGGAGAGAGGGGTACTGCCCATGTTATGTTCTTGTACAACACAAACATCTACAAGCGTATGAACAATAACCACCATCCACTTAAAAACGAAAACATTGCCAGTTGAATTGTGTTATTTGAAATCAGTTCTTGCATGCGGTCCCTCAGTGTCCAGTCCGGTTTTTTAGGAAGTACGCGTCCCTGACTCGGACTTCTGAGTGCGCTTGCTATAACTCCAAGTTCACAGCCATCACATTGACGGTCAGTCTGTGAACCACACACCCTGTTTTGGGTGTTGGCACTCCATCGTGTCCAATCTGGGAGGGCTAGCCCTGTTCAAACTGTTCGTGTCTCCACATAAACTTCCCAACCAGCTTGCCTAGCTCTACTAAACAAAGGAAAGTTGGAATTGTAACTGGAACCAATTTAAACTTAAATACAAGTCTTTTGATGCCAACTTGAATGGTCTTTTCACACTTCAGTGCCCCCAAGTTTAGCTTACTTCCTACTGCATTAGGGAAATTATTTGAATATTGCTGTCAAAGAAAGCTTTTCTTTAATTGGCCATTCCTGGAATTTTGTTCGATATGGGATTTTTTTTTATGGGGTTTTAATTCTTTCTTGTTTATAGTTCAGACCAGAAGAAGTGCTTTTCAGAATGAAAGAAAAATGGGTATGTGAAATGCTCTAGAGTGCTTGTATTTATTATTTTGCTTTGTTTTATAACCTTTGGTACCAGAGTTGGCATTTGTAGAAGCTGAAAATGTTGGCTTCTGCTCTGCAAGAGATTTCTGGCTTCTGTTCTTAATATGCATGTACCCACATGCCACTGTGCACAGCCTGATTATTTTCTACTGTGAGACATTTTCCATGTCCTTTTTTAGAATTTTCCTATGTAAGAGCAGGTAAACAAGGTGAGCTGTGCAAGTCAGGTGAACTCCACTACAGCCGAGCACCTCCTGTGGCTCAGACTCACCATTGTCAACATTGCAAGTGTGTTCTTCCTCGTCCTGGACCTCCAGAGAAGCCAGCCTTCTCAGCCTACCAGTTATTGGTTAATTATCGAGTGTGCTTTCTGTCTACTTTAGTTTAACTTTTTATTTTGGGATCATGTCAATTCACATGCAGCTAATAACACGAGAACCCATGCTCACTTTACACAGTGCACTGTTACAACGAGGGTGTTGACCTCCGTACAGTCCAGATCCAGAACATTCTAGTGCCACAAGGATCCCTCCTATTGCCCTTTCATAGCCACACCCACATCTTCCCCCAGTCCTGGTGGCCGCTAACCTGTTCTCCATTTCTACAGTTTGCTCATTTCCACGCTGTTATGTATCAGTGGACCATGAGATTGGGTTTTTTCACTCATTCTTATTCTCTGGAAATCCATCCAGAGAATGGATGTGTGTATCAATAAACGTGTATATCAATAGTTTGTCCCTTTTTATTGCCACATGGTGTTCCATGGCATGAATGGACCACATTTTAGTTAATCACTCACCTGTTTTGGGTTATTGTGAATAAAGTTGCTATAAACATTCATGTGTTTATAATTTTAAGTAATCTCTACCCCCAACATGGGGCTTGAACTCACAACCCCGAGATCAAGAGTCACGTGCTCCATTGAACCAGCCAGGCGCCCCCACGTACCCATTTTTTATGTGAACGTGTCTTCATTTCTCTGGAATGAATGCACATGTTTAGTGTTTAAGAAACCACGAGACTGCTTTCTGGGGTGGCTGCACCTGTTAGATTCCCGCCAGCCGTGTGAGTGACCCGCCTGTCCGCATCCTCGCCAGCGTTTGGGGTGGCCACTCTTTTTTATTGTAGCCATTCTCACAGGTGTGTGGTCGTATCCCGTGTGGTTTCAAGGTGCATCTCCCCAAGGGCTGATGACATCGGACACCTTCTCACATGCTCATTTGCCATCTACAGATATATCTTCTTAGGTGAAATAACCATATTTTTTGCCCATTTTCTAATTGGATAGTTTTATTGTTTAGTTTTGAGAATTTCTTGTGTATTCTATTTGTTGGATATGTGGCTTTCAAAGATTTTCTCCCTGTCTATAGCTTGTCTTTTCATCTTCTCAGTAGGGTCTTAAGCAGAAGTGTTTGATTTTGATGAGGTCCAGTTTATCAGTTTTTCCTTTCATAGATGGTGCTTTTGATCTGCAAAAGAGTCTGCAAACTCTTTGCCTACAGATCCTGAGGGTTTTCTCCTATGAATTTCCTAAAGGTGTTATAGTTTTGTGCTTTACCTTGAAGCTCCAGGTCCATTTCAGGTGGGTTTTTGTGTAGGGTGTAGACTCAGGTGTCGCACTGCTCCAGCATACTTTGTTGACAGGGCTGTCTGTCCTTCTGCGCTGACCGGCTTTGGCACCATTGTCCACGATCGGCCGGGTGTGTTGGCGAGAGCCTCTCTGTAGGTCCTTCCTTCTGCTCAGCTGTGACTTGCTTGTCTGTCCCTCGCTAATTCCACACCGTCCTGATGACTAAAGCTGTTTAGTAAGTACTTTATGATGGCTGCTTGGAAATCTTCCCCCAGTGATTCTAACATCTCTGGGTGGCATCTCCTGGTTGATGTTTTCATTCAGTTTGGGATCTTTGTGGCTCTCGGTATGATGAATGATTTTTTACTGAAACCTGAACACACTGTGTTACAGGACCCTGAACGTTACTTAAACCTAGTGTCCTATAGCTGACTGTCCCTGGCACCACTCGCTCTCCCTGGTAGGGGTCCAGGTTCCCACCAGGCCACTGCCGACAGCTTGCAGGCTTGCTCCTCTTCCGTGGTCTCCTGGCAGCCGCAGTGGGGTTGAGATGGGCACCTCAGCACCTCAGACAGGCTCCCCGAGTGTCCCCCTGACTCTGCGCTGCAGCTGGGAGGGTGGCGTCTGGCTGGGGTGGGGCCTTTCCCCTCCGTCCATTGCCCCGTGTAGCTGGCAGCTCCCTCTCTTGGACCTTTGGCCGAAAGAGCAGTCCTTGTTTTGCTTGTTTTTGTCTGTGTCCATTCCCGTTGTTGTTCCCAGGCTTCTTCAGCTCCCAGGCTGGGGTAATAATGCAAAAGCAGACGCAGGGCACTCCCTGCCGTGCGCTCCTTGGTCCCCGGCTGGTCTGCCTTCTTCCCTCCACACTTCGGAGCCCTTCTGATGTTTGCTTTATGTGTCGTAGTTTGGGCTTCTCTGAAGTGCTTTGTGATGGCCTCACACCAGCTCTGTGCTTTCCTCTGTGCCGCCGGAGTCCCGTCCTCGGGGTGCGCCCCAGCTGGCCCGCCCTCCAGCCTCCAGTTAGCACCCGTGCACCTGTCGTCCTGCCGAGGGACTCCTCAGAGCACGCATGTCACTCCGAGGGCGTGTGCTACTTCTGCACTCACGACCACATCTTCCCTCCCACTCTGGACCTCAGGAAGTTACTTTTTTTCTTGTTTAAATTTATTTGACAGAGACAGAGCACAAGTAGGCAGAGCAGCGGGCAGAGGGAGAGGGACAGGGCAGAGCAGGGAGCCCGACGCGGGGCCTGATCCCAGGACCCTGGGATCATGACCTGAGCCGAAGGCAGACGCTCAACGACTGAGCCACCCAGGCGCCCCAGGAAGTTACTTTTTTATTAAAACTTGTCATAATGGGAATATTAAAACACATGCAAATACAGAATTGCAAATGAACCCCCACATGCCCAGCAGCCGGCATGAGCATACCAGCCTCGACCCCTGTTTCGTCCAGACAGCATCTGCTTTCTCCCCCACCATGCCTGTTAGTTTATAAGAATCAACCCCAGATGTTATCATTTCATCTTTAAACACTTCAGTATGTCACTAAAATTGAAGTACTATTTCCACATCTAAAATGACTAATAATTCCTTAATATAATCAGCTATTCAGATGATATTTATTTTTTTAAAAATATTTATTTATTTGAGAGAGAGAGAGAGAGGGCGCAAGTGCAGTGGGAGGGGCAGAGGGAGAGAGAGAATCTCCGGCAGACTCCCCACTGAGCGCAGAGCCCGCCGCGGGGCTCCACCTCATGACCCTGAGACCATGACCTGAGCCAAAACCAAGAGTCAGACACTTAATGACTGAGCCACCCAGGGGACCCCGAATAAAGGATTCTAAGTAGAAACTCATTTAACTTTTAGCAACGAATTTGCCACGTATACTTTGAGATTCAACATTGTTAACAAATGATTGTCATGAAAACTATATGCATTTTAGATAGATGAGAGAGATTTATAACTTACACATGATTTAGCACATTTTAGTTACTGTTTTCCTAAAAACACTGGATTTGCCTTTCAGTGACATATAACTTTTGTTTGTATACAAAGCAAATGTGGCTATGACATTTGCAATCTTCTCGCTTTCAGTGTGATGGGTCCTTTATCACAGATTATGGTTAGTACAGAGTATGGCTGCAGTATTTAGCAAGAGGAGGCCATTCAACTTGTTAATAATTAGATCATTGGAGTAACTTAGTTCTTTGAGGATTTCCTGTGGTTTCTCCTGTCAACAAAATAAGAAGTTATACATTGCTAAGGAATTAGATCCGATTTGAATAGTCATGTGCTCTTTAGTTGCATCCAGACGAGATGCTGTTTGGGATGAAGAAGAACAGCAAGGTGAAACCCTGGGGTGTTTTGCTCTGCATCTTTAGTTTACAACCCAGACCAGAGTTCCGAGCGCAGTGATCCAATGGCAGGTGCGCTGGCAGGGGTGTGGCTCCGTCATCTTCTGTGATGACCTGGTGCGCCTTCATCCCATCCCGTGGGAGGGCTCTCTCTGAGACATCCTTGTCCTCACTGTCCTCCCCCGGGGCCCAGCCCCTGCTGCAGAGCCGCCCTCCTCGGAGTGGGACTCGATCACAGGGTGGTCCCTTTCCACCTGTGCCATCCCTCCTGACAGCGCAGCCCTGGTCGGCGGTCCTTTGGTGTCCTGGGCCGTGCAGATGCTCGGTCTCCGACAGCAGACCCAACCATCCTTGTTTCGTGACTTTCTTCTTGAGTTTGTAGTAATGTCGTACTCGTTCCCTCGGGGCAGGCTGACCTCATCTGGTCATGTGACGGCCACGCTGAACATTATTTTCTTGCTATCTTTCAGACAGAAACCATCTCCGCCAGTCAAGAAGCCCTCAGAAGTCCTTTGCCATGGATACAGAAGATGAAGAAAACATGAGTAAGACCTGGCCTATCATGTAGCACCAAGTAGCTAACTCTCCATTAAAACTTTAGTGTTCTTGTCAATCTTTCTAATGAGACTAATTTGGGGAAAGTGATTTTTTTCCTACAGTATTTCCTACATCATTAACAATGGCATGTTTTAAATTTCTGATGTATTCTCTACAGTGATGTTGGTACTTGCTGTGGGCATTTTCCTAAAGCCGTGTGTCTGGACCGTCCGTCACTCTGGGGCCACCGTGTGTGTACCTGCAGGCGAACACACGCCTCCAGATGCGTTTGCCACAGAGCTGCATGGTTTCATGCGATGTCACAGCCTGGTCTTCTACTGGTGGCCAGATTTTCATCTGTGCAAATCTAAAATACTCTTTGAGATTGATTTAAGTACTTGGTCATTTGGGATAACACTACCTAAATTTTGCCTGTAAATACGATGGATTCCCCCTGTGCTTTGAGGGAAGGGGGCTCCCATGAGGCTGCTGATTTTGTTTGCAAGATGTCAGTGAGCCTGTGGGCTGCTGTGGACCCGAGCTCCCTGCTGGGCCTGCTCCGTGTCCCACACTGTCCTCTCTGGGGTGCAGGCTGGTGAGCCTCAGGGGTTCACAGCTTCCCTCCCGCAGCAGTGTTCTCTGTGAAAAGAAGTTCCCTGAACACCTGTCCTCTATTTTATCTTTAACCCCAGATAGCCATGCATTTGAGTAAGATTTAAAGGCTCCCACCGAAGTTGGGAGCTTTTAGTAGGGAAATTAGAGCAAAGCACCATCTTTCTGATATACGTGTATATGTAATCTCATTTGTCTGTGTTCGGTGGTGCTCAAGGAAGAACATGCAGGTGTAAATGATGAGTGACAGCTTATTGAGAGTGGTCACGTGACTAGAACAGAGTTCAGTGCACCTCCCTGTGACTTCCCCCAAAACTGAGCAGCGGAGGCCTTGCCCTTGGGCTAGTCTGCCGCCAAGCACCCAGCAGCTCACCTGGCAGAGCCTGGCTGCCCCACGGGCCCCGCTGCGGGGGACGCAGTGGGCTGGGCCTTTGTCACACAAACCGCGGGAGGTGTTCTCTTGGCGGTCGGGGGCGTGAAAAGGCATGAGCGGTTGCTGTTTTCAGCAGCAAGACCACAGCTCTGCGAGCTGCCGTCCCCATCAGAGCCTCCTTGGGGGTCTGTCCTGCTGGCCATGGCCACTTTTCCCCCTGCGTTCCCCCACATGGGGACTGCGTGAGCACCTGTGCACCAAGCCTCCTTTTTTGGGGACCGGGGGCTGTCGTCCACGGCGCAGTCACTGAGTTGGGGTGGAAACTTCGTGGTGTGTAGACCATGTGGTAACTCGCCAAGATAAAGGAATCTTCTGAGTGATTGTGCGGGAAAGATGAATGCGGTTCCAGAGCTGGAAGTGGCGGGAAGTCCTAGATGTCCTGCCATTTCAGAGGCAACGAAAGATCTTATCACGGCCACGTTCACATTTGTGGAATAAAGCAGCACGTGTGTGTTTAAGGGCTGTGACAGTGGAGCCTCTTCCCTAATTCTAATATTGATTTCCTCTGCGTAGTAGCACGTCTCATTAGATGGGAGCTGAGCAGGATCTGAGCGCTCCGGGAGCAGATAACAACTTGGAATTTGTGTAAAGTGTATTATGGGAGGCATGTTTTTCTTACAGTCTCAAGATTATCTGTCACCCCGGCCCTGGTTATTTTTATTTCCTAAAGGCCAGCCTTTGTGTCAGAGGCTGTGCGTGATTGAGTGCACGTGTGCACACGCTGACATGGCCCGACCCCCTGCTGGTGACCGCCCCCCCCCCCCAGGCACCACCGTTGGGATGTAAGCGCTCATGTAGCGTGTACCGCTCTTGCTCACTTGTTAATCTAAATTCTGTCTCGCTCTGCCCTTTTTAACCTTTGTTTCTTTTGAGCACCGAAAGGAGTAACCTATTGAGCTTTTGCTGGAGGATGTTATAAATGAAAATTTAGTGTCCATTCCGTCAGCTTTGTCAACTGGGAGAAGTGGTGTGTGTGTTGGGAGCCCTGGGGAGTATTTGCCGTCAGCAGAGAGCCGTCTCCAGTCTCCTCATCTCTGCCTCGGCACGGAGGCTGTTTCCCGGGGGTTAGTCTTTACACCTCAGCCCCAGAAGCTCGAGAACTTGAACTTTGGGGATTGGTAGCCATCAGCCAGACTTTCTGTCCCAGTTGCCTCCCGTGTCCACAGAGCTGTCTGCTTGCTCAGCATCATGAGAATCTACATGTAGATGACATAGCAGAAGGACCCTAGGGCCACCACGTCTGGGACCGCTTACACCTGCAGAAGCTGCTGTGGTTACTTACTGTAGATCTCTGATAGCTAGTGGCAGGTCCCACAGACAGTGCCTCAGAGCCCCGCACTTACCACTCCTGCGCTTCATGCGGCAGGCGGCCTGTGAAAATCAACCAGGAAAACCAGGAATTTTTTTCTCTTTTTTTAAAAAGGTTGATAAACTTACAGGGAAGAATGAATACTTTTTTATTCCCCTTTTTGAAACTAAAATCAACTTATTTTGCCATGAACTTTTAGAGTTTTAAAATTATCCTTATTAATTGTAAATAGAAACTACCTTTAAAAGGTAGGATAACCAAATTATTCTGTAAATCCATCAAATGTTTATTTTAAAAAAAGATAAAAATTGCTGGCTTTACTTAACAAAGTTAGGAAGCTGTAGGCTGTTTGCAGCTTCGATTTTATGTCTTTTTTTTTTTTAACGTATTTTTTTCCCTATCACAGAATGTCATAAGGGTTCGGAGGTAAATCAGTCCCCACGTAGCATGGAACCAGGGTAAGCATGTACTAGAAGCGAAGCTGCATCCTTCAGAAATCTCCACTAGTCCGGAGCACTTCCCAGGATTTACCAGGCGTTCTCTGAGATCGATTCATGCACTAGGTCAAGTAACCGCACACATTGATCTGAAAGCTGGTTAGCTTGTGAATGCCTGTTTTAAACCCTGTTTCCTCTTCTGGGAGAGGCTGCTGTCCAGAGCCCGGGAGCCCGAGAGCAGGGACATCGGAGAGGAGGGGCAATGTGTCAGCACTGACCGGAGAGTTTTCAGGATCAATTTAGCATCCCACATTTTGATAAGCTTGAATAGAGCATCTCTAGATGCCTCAGAATGTTCTTGTAGGAAATAAGTACTTGAAAGATTCAGCTTTTAATGCAAGAGCAGTTGGTGACGCTAACTAGGAGTGGTGTCTAGGGGCTGGTTCCTGGGTGGAGTGGCAGCTTTCTGCACACACAACAAGGAACAGAGTGTGTAAGCACACATCACTTAACCAGTTACAAAGAGAGATAAAGGAATCTATAAATTTTGCATTTACAAGATCCTGCAACGAAGGCGTTGTAAGTTACTCTTTCTGGGCACCACAGGTTCGAGCAGCACAGATGTTAAGGAAAGCTGCAGTCTGGACAGCGTGCCCCCCAAGGACGGCAGTGCTCCTGGGCCTGGCGAGGGCGCCCCGCTCTCCAACGGGGGTGGCGGTGGTGCCAGCCGGAAGCGGCCCCTGGAGGAGGGCAGCAACGGCCACGCCAAGTTCCGCCTGAAGAAGAGGCGGCGGCCGCCCGGGCCCGCGCTGCCAAAGAACGCCCTGATGCAGCTGAACGAGATCAAGCCTGGCCTGCAGTATGCACTGCTGTCCCAGACGGGGCCGGTGCATGCGCCCCTGTTCGTCATGTCCGTTGAAGTTAACGGGCAGGTGTTCGAGGGCTCCGGCCCCACCAAGAAGAAGGCCAAGCTGCACGCCGCCGAGAAGGCCCTGCGGTCTTTCGTGCAGTTCCCCAACGCCTCCGAGGCGCATCTGGCCATGGGGAGGACCCTGTCCGCCAACACGGACTTCACGTCCGACCAGGCTGACTTTCCCGACACGCTCTTCAACGGCTTCGAGACCCCAGACAGGTCGGAAATACCCTTCTACCTGGGCTCCAATGGGGACGACTCCTTCAGCTCCAGCGGGGACCTCAGCTTGGCGGCGTCCCCGGCACCCGTGAGCCTTGCGCAGCCTCCTCTCCCCGGCCCTCCGCCGTTCCCACCACCGAGCGGGAAGAACCCCGTGATGATCCTGAATGAGCTGCGGCCAGGGCTCAAGTACGACTTCTTGTCGGAGAGCGGGGAGAGCCATGCCAAGAGCTTCGTCATGTCTGTGGTGGTGGATGGCCAGTTCTTCGAGGGCTCGGGCAGGAACAAAAAGCTCGCCAAGGCCCGGGCTGCGCAGTCCGCACTGGCGACCATTTTTAATTTGCACTTGGATCAAACACCGTCTCGCCAGCCCATCCCAAGCGAGGGCCTTCAGTTACATTTACCGCAGGTGAGGAAACATGCCGCTGCCGGAAACGGTGGCCATGTCTTGACAGTGCTTTCAGACAGGGCTTCATTCTCCTGGTCGCTGTTGAGGTCCCATCTGAACGTCCCTGGTAAGTCTGGCTCCGGGCGGTCCTGCCCTGCCGAGCGGGTCATGCTGGGCAGCCTGTCCAGGGCCATCACGTGCGGGTGGGACACATGACGCCCCGTCCACCAGAGCAGTGCTTTCAGTCGCCTCCAGGCCGAGCCCTGCCCCGTGCCCCGTGGCAACCCGTGGCTCCCTCCCCACACAGTCCACCCTTGTGGGGACTCACGTCCCGTTGCAGCCTGTGACAGGAGCAGCTCAGTGGTGTTTCCCGCAAAGTCTCACCAGGGAATCCCAAGCACAGAAGGGAGGCCGGCTGGCCAGTAGCTGAAACCCTAGTGTGGGTACAGGTGGGTGTCTTGCAGCTCCAGCAGGACTGAGGGCTGAGGGGCCAGCCGAGGACACCCCACAACAGGCGTGAGCCTCTTGGAGGGGCAGAGGGACGGAGGGGCAAGGGACAGAAGGGGACCTTCAGCGGCACTCAAGCTGCCCAGGAATCTGTACCTGGAATGTCCTTGGTGGGGTCCATGTGGGTCTCCCTGCTGCTCGGCCGGAGGTAGGCGGCCACTCTTGTTTGGTTTTGGACGGCCCTCCCCCATAAGACCAGGGTGAAGACGGGGGGATTTCAGGGTGGGCTCATGGCTTATGTGAACGGGGAGATAGCGTGTAGCTGGCATCTCTAAATCCTAGAACTCTTTGATTATGTATTGCTTCTCTTCTTGGAAATCCAGGTTTTTAGTGTAAAAATTATCCTTTTAGAGAGAAAATCTGACCACCCTTCTTTATTCCTTTTTGTCAAAATATTACTGATGTTGAAGATAAACTATATACTGGTTTGATCAGAAAAAATGAAGGGACTCCAGGTTGCTAGATGGGACAGCTTATATCTCTCCTGGAAGACTCCAGGCGTCACAGCTTCTCTGGTACCTTTGAACACAAGTAGGGTAACCTCTCTGCCGTTGCCTGAGGTGACCAGTACTTCTAGGTTTTAGAAGAAGAAACTTTATTTTATTTTGCCTAAAGCAACCAAATACAGCATCAATATAAAGTAGCGTATTTAAAATATCCTACTGGTATTTAATGAACCAAATAATCACATCCCATATTAACCTCTTACGCACATTTTTTCAGAAGAATAGTAGTCCACTTATCATTTCACACGTCAGTGGTACTGGTTTCCTGGGACTTTTATTTTTAGGTTTCCTGTTTGCTGCAGTATCTTCCCGCTTGAGTTCACACCAGTGTCTGGTGCCACCTGACTGCCCTTGACCTCAGCAGAGTCGCGTGTGAGACGATTGGAATCCCATCAAATGTGGGAACCCCGGTGCCTGGGCTTTGCAGGGTGGAGGGGTCACACTGTGGTGGGGAGTCACGCGGGGGTCCCAGCCTGGGCCTGTACTTCTGTGGGAGCCGAGACCAGAGCCCTGCTGGGGGCCATGTGCGGGCCTCACCCGGAGGGGCTTCTGGGAATCCGGTCTAAAGGAGAGGGGTAGACGGGCAGGGGTCATCTCAGCCGTGCCCCAGGCCACTTGCCCGAGTCCTGCGAGCGCCTGGCGCTGGTGTGGAGCTGCGTGTCCCCGTGTCTGCTCCCTGTGCCCCCACCGTGGTGTCTCTGGAGCCCCACGGGAGCTCAGGAAATGACGACATTTTCCTTGGAGGACCTGGGGTGGCCTGCGCAGAATCAGCCCTGGCAGCTTGATTTCTGGAATCTTTGCATTGGAAGTTTCCAGTGTGCCTTCTGGAGTGGTGAGCATCCTCACTGTTGGCCTGGAGTAGCCCTTGAGTCCCTGGTCTTGGAACTTCTTGCCTTTATCGTGTTCATAGGGCGTTCCAGGGTTTAAACCCGGACGTCGTGGGCCATGTGAGGCGTGCAGAGCCCTCGCTCAGTAGTGGATTCTGGGAGAGCGGCAGAATCGGGCGTCAGCCCCGAGCTCGGCTTTGAGCCGGGGCTTCTCTGTCCTGGGTGCCATTGCAGGGAAGGGGTGCCGCCTGGGGCTATGGGGGCATGGGTGTGACTCTCGTTACATCTGCGCCCAACACATAGAGAGAGAGTCGCTTCCTTACCCAGAGGAAGGAGATTGTAATCTCTGTGAGGGGTCGGAGGGACTGTCTCGGTGCCGAAAATGTCTGCCTCTGACCAGTGAGTGTCCACATAAGGGCCTGACCTCCATCTGAGTGTCTCTGAGCTCTGGGGTTTGGAGATAGGCCTAACCTTCCATGAAACGGAAGCTTTTCTTTTCTGTGGCTTATTCTTAACCTCTCTTAAGATTTTTTCTCTTACGTAAATTGGAACACGTGGTTCTTCATCTTTGATTCCCTCCCCACCGTGTCGCCTGCACCCACGTGTGTGGCACTGATGCTCTGCCCTGGGTGCAGGGGGGCCTGCCACCCCACATCTTCTGTCCACACTCCCCGCCCCTGGCTTGAGCGCAGTCTTCTAGGGCTCCTTGGTACTTATTGGGGCAACGGCAGGAGGAAGAAATCCTGGTGACTTGTGTTCTTTTCAAAATAAGTCATCATTTAGGATGAGGGACGTTTCTGTCCATTTGGGGAGTGTTCTACTATGGGCCAAACTGGGGACACTGGATGTAGCTGTTTGATCGTCAAGTGTGAGATTGGGAGGACGCAGCCCTCACACACATCCCCCGTCAGGCATCATTTCCCAAAAACACTAGGATCCAAGATAAATTATAAGCTATGAAAATAAGATGGGACAGATGTGTTTGCTCCTGGGAAGGGCTCCCTCCAGTGCAGGCTGTCTGGTCTGGCCATGTACCAGCCACACTTAACCCCTTCCCCAGAGAGCATGGCCGTCAGTGCTGTCTGGCGTGGGCTGGGTCTACGGCAGATGCCCTTGCAGGCTCTCGTTGGCGCTGCTTCCCGGGTGGTGGCTGAGCCACGTGTGGCAGGTGCCCCGGGCCGTGGCTGAGCACAGCTGTGTGGCCTTCACCAGGTTGTTCTTCACGCTGCTCCTTCTCTTGCCCTGATGTTGTGGGGCACACTCGAGGGCATGTTCCCTGGCCCGGCCAGTCCCTGAGTGGACGGCCACCCCTCCTGTGGTCAGAAAAGGAGCACTTTCACTTCTTCAAAAGCCCTGTTGCTCCAGGGCTCCTTGGAGGCTGGGAGAGCCGGGTGCAGAGCTGGGTGCGGTCGTGGAGGGTGTGAGGCAGGTGGCCCAGAGAAGCCACTCTGGCTGGTCTCTGCCTCGGCTTCCTCATCCAGGGGGAGGGCTGGGGTATTGGGAGGACCAGAGGGGTGGCATGGGCTCTGGACTATCCCTCTCCATGAGACTCTCGAAGGATTCCAGCAAGAGCCTCCAGTGCTCCTGGGGCCTCTGTTTTCAAGGAATGTTTTGGAGGGAAAAAAAGCAAGCACACACACATGCGTGCCCGTTTGCCAGTTTTGCCTGTGTGGTTTTCCAGAGAAGCCGTCTGAAAGGCCACTCTCAAGGGACGGCCTTGTTGGTGTGCACGGGGCGGGTGCAGGCCGCACCGCTGACTCCCTGCTGTGGTCCTCAGGTGTTAGCTGATGCTGTGGCCCGCCTGGTGCTGGATAAGTTTGGCGATCTGACGGACAACTTCTCCTCTCCTCACGCACGCAGGAAAGTTCTTGCCGGCATCGTCATGACAACAGGTAAAACATTGGTGTTGCATGTCAGCCTGCCTTGCTTCCTGCCTAACAGAGAGGGGACGTGCTTTCAGGCTGGGACCACCTCTGTGACACTGATGGGGCCGTTTTCCTAATCCTTCAGAATCCCTGTCATGTGCAAACGTAGGAACTGCACTTATATTTTCCCCTACATGTTCGTTTCTTTAACCTAGGTTTTCTTATTTGGAGAAAGCATACTGTATTAATATCTGATTTCTATAATCACATCTATGAGTGGTTTTGATCGACTCTGGAAAAATCCAGCAAAATGGCACCTCCCCCTTCCTGCCTCATTTGCGAGTGGGATGCATTTGGCTTAACCAGTGGGGATGCTACCGGCTAGTTTCTGTGGGACTTTTATGTGGGAGACAGGCAGCTCTAGCAAGAGCAGAAAATGCACAGGTAAAAAGCACGCTTTGGGATGGCAGAAGGAGCCCTATTAAATTTACACAGAAGTTCTCACCAGCACAAGGAACCCCCCTGAGTCCTTTCCCGCACCCCAGGGGTGAGGGTGCTGAGCAGCATCTGCCCATGGACCACTCCCAGGAACAGGAGACCGCAGCGGTGGCCCAGGCCTGGATCCCTGCTCCTGTGGGGCCTTCTGCCCTGGGGCAACCTCTCAGCCCCCCACTGGCTGTCTGAGCCTGGACCTCCATGTGCAGAAAGCCCCTTAGGACCGGAGAGCGAGCGAGCGAGCTGGGAACGCTTTATGTGTCTACACCTGCCAACCAGGGAGAAAACCCCAGTCCTCCATGTGGGCGAATGCACTGTCCTTTTCTCCTGAGGCGGCTCTGTCCCATCGTGGGCAGGGCGTGATTTCCTCAGCGTTGGCCCACCGCTTGATGGCCGAGGAAACCTGAGTGCTGTTTTAATTACAGCTTTTTCTTGCACGATGTCTTTACTTTGGTGCAGCAGAGGGTACGCCTGCGGTAGGAGGAAGCGCTCTGGACGTCACCCTGGGGTTCAGGGTGATTCTGGTGGTGATGCCTGTGTTCTCCCCGCCCCTCTCTTTGCTGCTTTTTTCACATGACGAAAGGCGAACGCTTCAGCCCCTGGAGTGAAGTGTCCCCTGGGTGAGGCTCTGTGCCTTCAGCCGCGGCAGGAGTGAGTGGCTGCCGGGTCCTTCCATGCGGCCAAAGGGGGCACACCAGCTGCCGGGGCATGTTGCACCTTGCTGTGCATCTCACTTGTGACCTTTTGCTCAGGGCCATGGTGTACCCCTGCAGGTAGCGCCACACAGCCCGTGGCACGGGGCCCTGACGTCAGATGGCCGGGTTCAGCTTGGGCTCCCGCTGGTTGAATGACCTTGGGCAGGCCGTTTGACCCCTGAGGGTCGTCATCTGCAAAATGGAGACTGGTATACGTGCCCCTCAGAGCACGTCGTGGGAATGAAGTGGAAACCCTTACCTAACAGGCCTGGCCCTGCACCTGCCGCTCGGGGCGCACACGATCTGTGTAGCTGCCGGCGAGTGAGGTTTGCTGTTGGGCAATGTGCACGTCTTGCCCCGTGTCTGGAGTACGTGTTCTGTCAGCACATGTCCGTCAGACCGGCAGTGCTTCCAGGGCCGTTACCAGCACACCGCGGGTCGCCTCCTCTCTTCCCCTGCGGTGCTTCCAGGGCCGTTACCAGCACACCGCGGGTCACCTCCTTCCTTCCCCTCTGGTCCCTCGGGTGGCTGTACGCCCTTCCTCGTAGCCTCACTGGCGCTTTCATAGACCATTTAGTCTGCCTCTACCTGGGGCTTCCTCCCTGTATCCGCTGGGAAACGTTCAAGAAAAGACTTGGTTGCATCCGGAGGAAATACCTTCCTTAGGTTTGAATCTGTAGACTAAAGAGCGAGGGAGGTTCACTTCCCAGAAACATTGCTCTGAGTCGTCAGGGGGAGGCCATTTGCAGAGGCTGAGTCTGCCCAGGTACAAATTGGGGGCAGGGCTGCGTATCACACCCCAAAAGTGAAGTCACTGAGAACGCACGGCAGACCCTGGGAGCACAGCGAGCCACGAGGAGTAATTTCTCGTTTGTTTTTCAGGCACAGATGTGAAAGACGCCAAGGTGATCAGTATTTCCACGGGGACAAAGTGCATCAATGGCGAGTACATGAGTGACCGTGGCCTTGCATTAAATGACTGCCATGCAGAAATTATAGCTCGGAGATCCTTGCTTAGATTTCTTTATACACAACTTGAGCTTTACTTAAAGTAAGTTTAGTAAGTAAATAACTAAAGGAGGCAGTTTTTAAATAACATTCCTTCCTGTCAGAATGTATTGCAAAACCTTCATTGTTTCTGTAATCTCTGAAAAATTCTTAAAATAGTAACTTAATTGGCAATGATGAGATTGGGTCCTGTTTTCCCATGATGCTCAAGCTACAAAATCCAGTTGGGCGAATACTACACAGGCATGCACACATGTACTTGTGGCTCGTGTGGCCGTCGATTTGAGGTCTGTGCTCAGGCCCGTGTGCTTCTGGTGTGCGCGGCATGAACCTGAACAGAACCGAGCCGCCTGGGGACCAGGGCCATTCATTCTAGTCACCTGTCTGAGCTGCTTTTGTTTACCAAGCCATTTCTTACGTGTCATCTGTCTGTGTCGAAGTCCTAAACGAGAAGAAGGGAAGGTCACTCACGTTCCGATGACTTGTTCTTTATTGAGCGGACTCAGTCATTAACTGTGTTAATTATCATCAACACGTCAACATCCCAGTTCAAGCTCATCTGTACCTTGTTGAAAGTAGTGGCCTCTGGAAGTCATTGTAAATTACGACAGACTGTTTTGACTGTATACAGCTTGAAAGATCATTTTTGCAACCCTTTTCCTTCTAGTAACAAAGACGATCAAAAACGGTCCATCTTTCAGAAGTCCGAGCGGGGAGGGTTTAAGCTGAAGGAGAGTGTTCAGTTCCATCTGTACATCAGCACGTCTCCCTGTGGGGATGCCAGGATCTTCTCACCGCACGAGCCGATCCTGGAAGGTATGGGACTCAGCCGGCAGTGTCTTGAGGAGACTCGGGGTTACGTAGTGACAGACCAAAGAGTAGACCTACGTTAATATGCTTTTCTTCTTTTTCTTGAAAATTTCAGCTTTGAAAGTGGATCTGATAGGAATATAGAGAAGCACGGGGTTTCTCTTTTCAATGAATAATTTGATGAGGAGACCTGGCTGAATGAAACGTGTTGACTCTGATGCACTAAGTACACTAAGGAATTAGAGTAGAAGTAAGGGTATTAAATCAGACTTGCATTTAAATTAAGACAGTCTGTATCTCTGCATCTGGGCTTTGGACAGGCCGTGATTTGATGCGTGTGTACCTGCGGGGTGTGGCGGGCATTTCAGAAGCAGGCACACATAGTGAGAAGGGGGCCCTGGCGCACCATCACGTGAGGCCCGTGCTTCTGTTGTATAGTAATTCGTGTCCTCGTCTCTTCTCCTAAGCTGAAGCAACTCAAATACAGCATCTGAGTGCATTATTTTCCTTGATTCCAAAAGCAATATATATGCACTGTGGAAAATTGCTCCATATTTTTTAAAATAGAAGAAAAAATTTTAATCGCACATGTTCATGTAACCCAGAGATACTCACTTTAGATGTTTGTTTGTGCATGCATGCTTCCTCTGCATTTATTTCAGCATTCCTGTAATTTAATTTTGGAACATTTAAAAATGGAGGGAAAATATATAACCCTCACATATCCATCATCTAGAATTAGCAAATGTTAGCATTTTGTCCCGTTTGCTTCAGCTCATTTTGAATGATAGAAATCATTTTGGTTAAAATGGAAGTCCTTTTTCCCCAGCCCCTGGAGGAGACCACTTTCATGAATATGGTTTGTATTACATCCTCTCCTGCCCAGTTTTCTCTACCATGTTGTACATCTGTCTTAGAGAGAGAGAGAGAACAGGCAGGTGTGCACGGGCCTGTGAACTGACGCTAGATGTCTAGGGCTGCTGCCCGCGGGACTCTCATCTGGCCTCCCTCTCCTAGAACCAGCGGACAGACATCCGAACCGCAAAGCCAGAGGACAGCTGCGGACGAAAATAGAGTCGGGAGAAGGCACAATCCCCGTGCGATCCAATGCCAGCCTCCAGACGTGGGACGGGGTGCTGCAGGGTGAGAGGCTGCTCACCATGTCCTGCAGCGACAAGATGGCGCGGTAAGGCCTCCCGCCCGCGGGCTCCCCGCAGGCGCACGGTTAGTCCGCGTTTCCGGCTCCAGTGTTGCCTGCGTTCTCTGCAGGACTGAGGCTCTGTGCGGTGCCTTTGGGGGCCACCTTGCAGGGATTGAGCTGGGGCCTCCACACAGGAGGCTCTGGGCCGCTCACACTGCTTTGCTTCTGTGTTTGCACGTATGGGCTTCTAGTGAGTCTGTGTGCCAGACAGTGACGTTTTAAAACAGTTTGCCCCCAGAAAAAAGGAAGAGTGTCCTTATTCCTAGTGGATGCCACCTTACGGGTCCTGCTTGTGGCCGAGGTACCAGTTTGGGTTATTGTGAGACCAGAGTGTCCCTAGCATCCCGTGCCGGGTGGTGGCTGCTGGCGAGCCTGGGGTTGGAGCCTGGAGCACATACACCCGTTTGCCTTCACGTGACAGATGTTTTTTCAGAAACAGATGTGTCCAGGCCAGACTTTTAAAAAAGCCTCATTTCTTCGGATGCTAGCGTTAGTTCCATTAGCTCTTTGTTTTTATTTTTTAACAAACGTCTACTTGAAAAAAAAGTAACATAGGTAGATGGCAAAAAGTTCAGCGGTACAGAGCATGTAAAACAAAGTTCTCCTCCGTCTTCAGAGCCACCCACCCTGAGCGCGTTCCAGACTGCCCTTCCAGAGCAGTCACAGACGCGTGCATGTGTGCACATGACCCTGTTCGGTTGTCTGTAAGCCTTTCGTGTTGATTTTCTTGAATGGACCTTGTCAGGGAACCTCAGGTACACAGAACACATGCCCCATCCCCTCTCCCCCAAGCACAGGTACTCACTGTGCCCACCTTGACTCATTTGCTTATTATGTGTCCTTTCCACTCTCCATTCACTTTTATGTCTCTGTGTGTAGCCTTGAAAAATACACAGTGGTGTCATTTTGGGGTATTTATGCATATATTGTTAATTTATGGAGATGGGATTATGTTTTAAATGCTATTCTGCATCTCACAGTTTCATTCAACCCAGTGTTTGGGAACTATCCCTGATGCTGTAATAAATAGCAGATTGCTTACTTCTCAGTTCTGCAAAGACCCTGTCATAGTCATGGACTGCGCCATGTCCGTTCCCTCGTGGTCAAGACTTGGGTCTGCCCTAACTCTCCTCTATGGTTCAGCCTTGAGTTTCCATGAGCGTAACTCATTCTAGACCTTCGCCATCCAGGATCTCTGCTGTACACAAGTAGAACTTCACAGATGATATCAGATGTGCCCCAGAACGCTCACATGGTTTGCACTTACACCAACAGTGTGTGATGCTAGTTTCCGCCTCATTTGAAAACTGGCGTCTGCTGGGGTGTGGGGCAGCCGTTCCATCGTTCATCTTTCTCATCAGAGGTGCCTGTTGACACCCTCTGCCCATTTGTCTTTGGGATCTCATGGTTTTTTCATCTTGGTCTGCAGACGTTCCTCATATAGTTTGCACTGCAGTCCTTGATGGTTTCAGAAGTTCCGTGTCTTCTCCAGTCCAAACCCATGTCTTCACTTGGTCCATGCCAAACCTTCGTTTTGTTATTACCTGATCCATTAATTTTTCACCCTGTGGTTTGCACTTCCAGGATCTTATTTAAGAAATTCCTCCTCAAATTAAGGACATAAAAATATTCTCCCATGCCTTTTTCTAAGATTTTTATCATTTTACTTTCAAATTTAGGCCTTTAACACATTTGTATTTGTAAGTAATAATTTGGCTTTATTATTTTAATACAGTGAATCAGTTTTCCAGGTACCATCTACTAAATGATTGATGTTTTCCTCGTTGATCTGTGAAGGCATCTCTATTACATACTGAACTCTCTTACAAAGATGGGTCTGTTCTGAGCCTCTCAAATCACCATTAGCTCATAATCAGATGTAATTGTACAGATCACACAGTTTTTACACTTCTGACCTTTCAACATGTTTAAAGGTAGCTTTTTATGTACCTCTATTCTTCTGTACATATTTTAGAATCAGCTCAAGTGTCACCAGATGTTTTGCTCAGATTTTATATGGACTTGTGAAATTGTGGATGGAAATGGAAAAAATTAACATAAAGTTAAATCAGTCCCTCTGTGAATATTGGCTCCTTAAAAAGTTAAACATATAATTACCATATGATCCAGCAATTCCACTTCTGGGTATTTGCCCCAAAGAACTGAAAGCAGAGTCTCCAAGAGATACTTGTTCACCCATGCTCACTCATGGTCACTTTTAGCTCACAAGAGGTAAAAAACATGGTGAGGTGTCTGTTAAGATCTTTCACCCATTTTTTAATAGGGTAGTTTGTTTTGTTTTCTTTTTGGGTTTTAAGAGTTTTTTTGGTATATTTTAGATAACAGTCCTTTATCAGACATATCTTCTGCAAAATTTTCTCCCAGTCTGTGGCTTGTCTTCTCATTCTGTGGATATTGTTTTTAGACAAGCAAAAGTTTTAAATTTTAATGCAGTCCAACCTGTCAATATTTCTTTCATGGATTGTGCTTGGAAAAAGTCACCACCAAACCTAGGGTCATCTAGATTTTCTCCTGTGCTGTTTTCTAAGAGCTTTATAGTTTTGCATTCTACATTTGGGTCTGTGATCCACTGTGAGTTAGTTTTTGTGAAGGGTGTAAAGTCTGTGTCTAGAGTCATTTTTTTGCGTGTGGACATCCTGTTGTTCCAGCCCCACCTGTTGAAGAGACTCTGGTTGCTCCCTTGTGTTGCCTTCATTTCTTTATCAAAGATCTGTTAACTACATCTATGTGGATCTATTTTTGGGCTCTCTTTTCTGTTGCCTTGATCTGTTTGTCTGTTGTTTTGCCAGTACTACACTGTCTTGATTACCATTTGGATTTTGAATCCAGTTCCATTGTGTGTGTGTGTAGGAGGGATTGGTCCCTCACACATCTCACAAGGAATCCTGGCACCAGTTGGGTGTCCTACAACTCGCCTGTGCTTCTGACCAACCCGCTATAAACTGGAGGTCTCAAGGACCTCCTCCTTGGGTTCAGTTAATTTGCTAGAGCAGCTCATAGATCTCAGAGAAACCTTTTACTCATGAAATCGCCAGCTTATTAGAAAAGGATGTAACTCAGTAACAGCAGATGAAGAGATGCAGAGGGTGGGTCATGGGGAGAGGGTCAAGGAGCTTACAAGCCCTCTCCAGGTGCATTGCTCTCCTCACATCCACATGTCCGCCAACCCGGAAGCTTCAAACCCTGTCCTGTGGGGTTTTTATGGAAACTTCATTACATAGACACAATTCATTAAATCATTGGCCACTGGTGATTTTTTTTAAATTTTTAAAATTTCTTAAGTAATCTCTACACCCAGAGTTGGGTTCAAACTCATGACCCCAAGATCAAGAGTCTCATCCTGTACCAACTGAACCAGCCAGGTGCCCCAAATCATTGGCCATTGGTGATTAATTCAATCTCTAGCCCCTTTCCCCTCCTTGGAGATCAGGAGAGGGGGATGGGTCTGGAAGTTCCATCCTTCTAAACCAACCCTCATCCTTAGATGCTTTCTAAAAGTCACCTCGTTAACATAGCGAAAGACACGTATGAGGCCCTCATCGCTCAGGAAATTCCAAGGGTTCTAGGAGCCATGAGCCAGGAACCATGGATGAAGACCAAATATATATAAGGCCAAAATACAGTTCTTATAAATCACAATATCACAATTACTGTAGCTTTATAGTCAGTCTTGAAGCCACAGAGTGTCAGTCCTTCAACATTGTTCTCCTCCAGTGTTGTGTTGGTTATTCTGGGTCTTTTGCCTCCATTTGAACTTGAGAATCCATTTGTCAGCACCTGCAGAATACCTTGCTGGGATTTTGACTAAGACTCATTGAATCTAGATGAAGGTGGGAAGAGCTGATATCCTGACAATATTGAGTGTTCCTATCCATGAACATGGAATATCTCTCCTATTTATTTCTTTGATTCTTTTTTCAGAGTTTCGTAGTTTCCTCGTATTGATTTTGTATGTATTTTGTTAGATTTATACCTAAGTATTTAATTTTTGGAGTCATTAATGTAAATGATGTTATGTCTTATAATTTCAAATTCCACTTGCTCCATATTAGCCACACTGACTTTTGACCAAGGTGCAATGGTAATTCAGTGGGAAAAAGTCTTTTTAACAAGTGGTGCTGGGACGATTGGACATCTCTATGTAAAAACAAACAAATGAACTTCATATTTTGTACCATATGCAAAAGTTAACTCAAAATGGATCATAGACTGAAATGTGTACAAGTTGTAGAAGAAAGCAAGGGAAGATGCTAGCAGTTGTGGTAGGCACCTTCTTAGATGAAGCACCAGAGACACTCAACTCCATCAGATTAAAATTACTTCTCTTTTAAACACACCACTAAAAGAATGAGAAATAAAGTCACTGACTGGGAGAAAATATTCACAAATCAGGTATCTGATAAAGGGCCTGTACACAATATTAAAATTTAGACCCTCAAAACTCAACACAGGGGAAAAGCAATTTTAAAATGGGCAAAATATCTGAATGGACACTTCATCAAAAAAGATGTCAAAGAAGTGCATGGCGAGACGCTCAACACCGTCCTCACTGGGAAATGCACGTGAAGCACAAAAGCACACCCATCCGAACACTGAGCGTATGAGGTGTGGACAGTGATGCAGGGAACCGGTGCCCTTGGCCACCGAGGGCGGGCATGCAGATGGCACAACCACTTGTGAAGAGTTCGGCAGTGTCTTAAAAACTTAAAGATGTGCCTAGCCCGTGTCCAGACTCACACTCGAGTGTGCCTAGCAGGTGTCTTTGTAGTAGTCAGAAAGTGGAAACTAACCAAATGGCCGACTGTGGGGAAGTAGATGAATACGTGGTAGTGTGTCCATACAGTGGGATACTCCTTCGGGGAAAAAAAGAATGAGCAGTGATACCCAGTGCACCATGGGTAAATCTCAAAATGATGATGCAAAGTAAGAGAAACCAGACAAACAGGAGTGCTTGCTGGGTGGTG